GTCGAAAAGTCTGCTATAATCCTTGTGGTGTACGATCTTGTATATACATTTTTCATCTTTTGCTTTCAAGTCTAGAGGCAGGGTTCCTGCTAGAACTTAAAGAGCAGTTGTTGGCGTCGTTGTGAAAGCTTAAGTTAGCTTTAATAATATTATCCTTTGTAGGTGCTTTTGGTTCACTCGTACTATTCCCGTCATCCATATTTCACAGGCATACAATACCATCTGCTCTATTCCTCTGATATATAAATTTTTTATTAGTCGTCCCTTAAGGTTCCATTTTAAGTCAACTCTTCAGCTTAAGTTGTTGAGGAGTATGCTTGTCTTGTCCGTAATTGCAGTTAAATGTGAGACCCAGGTAAGCTTCTTTTCGATCAGGAAACCTAGGTATTTAAAGGTATCTAATGTATCAGTAAATCATAATTATTCCTTTTCACATTATGTTTTCATTTCTGCTTTTCACTATGAGTATTAGGAAAAACATCAAGTGCTGTGTTATTAACGTAGATAATAATAATAAAAAAAAGGCAGTTGATCTTGCTGACAGATAACATATTAAAGAATCAGAGAAATAGTTTGAGAGTTATGATTTATCCCTTTCCTAAAATTTTTACTCTTAAAATATTTTTCTTTTGCTTACCAAATTACACAGACTGATTTAAAAGTTTTGAAATTGGTTTTCGTATCCAAAATTGGATGATTCTGCAAGTCTTCTTTTTCTTTATTTTTTAAATTTGAATTCCTTACATGAATTACTCCTTTTCAAGCATTTAATGAATAACTGAAAAGCATAAAATAAACTATTTTTTGATTTGCTATTCAGAACTGCATGCTTGATGTTTGTAATTTCATCTGAACTGTCCATCTTCCCATATATTTGCTTTTCAAAGTTCAGTTATATTCAGAAATCACATATCTACTAGCCTAAGCTATATATATGGCACTCAGATGTGCACAATTGTATCAGACTGTGTTGCAATCAGCCCTCATATAAAAACACAGCATGTACAATAAACATTAATTTATCATTCAACAGCAAACTATTAAAATTTCAAGGAAGGCAAAGTTTATATACAGATGTGCAAGTACAAGATGATGCTGGCCTGAACATCTGTATAAATAAAAAATTAGCTGTACAATAAGTCAATTGAATATAAGATACCGTATTTTCTGGCATATAATGCACTGGTGTATAGCACGCCTCTATAATTTCAAGCTACATTTTCTAATTGTTATGTATATTTGCCGTATAACATGCACCTAATTTTTCATGAAGGAACTTAAGTACGACAATCTCTGGTAACTCGATTTTCTGATGACTTATTCGAAGATTTGCCCTACCCTTTTGAACAATGGTATGCCAAAATGACAAGTGATGAGGAGAACATTATGTGTGCGGGTTTGAGGGAATAAATATTCTTGCAGAGAGGGTAGATTTTATTCAATGCAAATGACCAAAAGAATGCTATTGTAGAGTTTCAAGAAAAGGGGGATATAATTTGGAGTAAGAATGTACTTCCAACCTGAATGAATTCATGGAATTGATGTTTTTTCTCTTTCTGTAGTCATTTGAAGCTGTAATTTTGAAGTGAAAATTGAAGGCTTTAGTAATGTGCATTTTAGTTGAAATACAGTTTATCCAGTGTTCCTTTTAGTAGTAAATATGGCTCCCGCGAAAAGAAACAACACAGTGCTGGTTTCAAATACAAAGCCATTCATTCTGTGAAAGAAAATGGAAATCGTGCTGCAGCAAGGAAATTTTATATTTGTGAAGGTTCCATATGTGGGTGGCAGAAAAATGAAATCACAATAATTAATATGCCAAATAATAAATGTGCCTTGCATAAAAGTGTAACAAAATAGCCTTTCCCAGAAGAAAGTGTTGTGAACTGGGTCATAGAAAAGCATCAGAATGGATTATTTATATTAAGAAACAGTATATGTTTGTTTATTTGCCTTAAATAAAATGCAAATGAAAGTGAAAACTTTTCGATGCAGTAGATTCATGGCATACAGAAATTTAGTTGCATCAGAAAAAAAAAAAAAAAAAGTTCCATAAAAGCTTCTGAAAGATATGGATAATAAATTGATTACTTTCCAGACGTATGTTATTGACTTAGAAGGCAAAAAAAGTATTTACTGTCACATATTGGAAACATGGATGAAACTCCAGTAATGTTTGATATGATTGAAATAAAACAATTGATGTTTGAAAAGAGCAAAAAGGTTCATATAAAAACAACAGGCCATAAAAGATCTCACTTTACTGTAGTGCTTTGCTTGGCGGATGGTTCAAAAACCAATAGTCATTTTTAAAAGAAAGACCACCCCAAAATGGTATTTCAAAAATGGTATTTTCATTCATAAGAAAGGATAGATGGACAAAAACAATGTGAAACTGTGGGTAATAAATGCTTGGCAAAAGCATCCTTTTGCCTTAAAGAATCCAGAAATTCTTTTAGTCTGGGACATGTTCAGATCACATTTAACAGATAATACAAAGATATTATTGACAGTGTAATACAGACAGGGGAGTTATTCTAGGCAGATTAACACCATTAGTTCAGCCTTAAGATGTGTGTATTAATAAACCAATCAAAGAAAATTTAAAACGACAGTAGAATATGAGGATGTTAGAAGGTGAAAAAACACTTACAAAAAACGGCCTAATACATCATGCCAGTTTAGAAATAGCGTGTAAGTGGACAATGAAAGCATGGAATGAAATTAAAACCAATATAATTTAAAAGTCATTTAAAAAGTGGGCTGATCTTTGGAATATGGTAACAGGTAGTTTGGCGACATTTTGGAGGCGACAAAGGTTACTACCTAGAACTTTGGTAATAATGTGAGAAGTACTCAGTTCCGATTACACATTATTTTGTGTGAGGGAAATTAGAGATCATGAGATATGTCATGTGACATTAATGGACGAATTACAGTTCTTTAATCGGAAAAGGCGGTAAATTTGGAAAAATTATTTTGTATTAAGCTTCATTGTGTGTTGTGTGAAATAGTGTTGATTAATTTTCGGATTGCATGGCGCTATGTAAAGTGAATTCTAAATTTTTAATGTGTTTATCTGATAATAATAATAAGTTGAGATTGTGTAAAAGGAAGGATGTTACAGATAAGTTTAAATGCCGGTGCAAGAAATCTGGTAAAAATAAACATTTTGTGAAATGGAGTGTAAGGAAGGGTACGTGGTTTGCTGAAAGTAGTTTGAGTATGGGTGAAATTTTATTAATTTCTTATTACTTGGTGAATAGACTGCCAGTTGACTACTGGATTTCGGATTTAGAAATTAGCAGTAGTACTGCAGCCGATTGGAACTCTTTCTGTAGGGAAGTGTGAGTGCCACGTAATGAAGATTCTGAAGAAGATTAGGTAAGTTAGTATTTTTAATCATTTGAGGATATTATTTTTATGCATTGTTCTAAATGTAAGGAGTAAATAAAAATTAATATGGTATTATTGGAAAATTGTTATTAGCAATGATTTAGTTTAAAGTAATTAGGATTGTAATCTAATTTTTATTAATTTAATGTATGTGCTTATTTATATTTTAAGTAGTGTTTTTTAATTTAATTATATTTTTATTTAATGATCGTGATTTTGTGAGTTATATGTTTGTAGCATTTTGGAATACGTTCGAGTAGTATACATTGAGTATTTTCATGCATTTTCGTGAAATTTTTCTAATTTATGAGAAAAAAGCAGTGTACATGGATATAGTGAAGAGTGTGCGCAATGCCATTTTTGTGCAATTCTGGGATGTTTTTTTAAGCAAAAATAAGTCGACGTGTACATGGTTTAGTGATATTTTAATTAAATGATAGTTATTTTGTAAATTTTATGTTTGTAGCAATTTGGTTTACGTTTCAGTTGAAGTAAACGTGCACGGAAATAATTTAAATATTTGACACTAAGTATTTGTAACCATTTTTAATGTTAGAGGTAGAAATTCGTTGGTGATGTTTATAATATAATAGATATAATACCTTGGAAAGGGTATATACTTTTTCGCGATCAGGTAATTCCATATATGTGCTTTTTACCGAGTTTAAAGATTAAGAAAATTTTCCTGCATTTTCGTGCAGGAATTTTTGTAATTTATGAGAAAATAGCAGTGTAGATGGATAAAGTTAAGAGTGTGTGCAATGACGTTTTTGTGCAATTATGGGATATTTTTTAAAGTAAAAATAAGTCGACGTGTAAATGGTTCATGTGTATGTGCTATTCTGAAAAACACGCAAGGAGTTTGTGATTGTGCACTTTTTCCCAATTTTGCAGTTAATATTTGTCATGATTAAGCAGTTTTGTTACATAAAATTTCTAGCATAAGTGTAATTCGGCTAGTAGATTGTTGGAAAAAGTGTTGAGTAAATAAAAAGAAAAGAAACATGTCTTTACTTCGTGAAGACAAAATGGCGGAGAAAAAAAACAGAGATTTGCTGTAGCAGAGTCGGTCGCCAAATTTTCGCCAAGTTACCATAATTCAAAGATCAACTAAAAAGTGCAGTATATCTAACAATCTAGATGGAATGGAAAATGATTATCTATTTACAGATCAAAGCAACAGTGATTGTGAAAATAAAACAGAATTCAATGATGTGCCTGAAGATATAACAGATGAATATGATGAACCTTTCATGTTATGAAAACTTTTAAGTTATAAGGTATGTCATTCCTTTTAAATAAACAGCATTTAGGTACATATAGAAGTCCAATTTTTCTTTAAATGCTCATTCCTTATTTTTAAGTCTATCATTTTTATACCCGACATATAACACACACCCGTAAATTGTTTTTCGAAAGTGCATGTTGTACATCGGAATATACGATAGTTCAGACCCATATGCAAGTAAAGTTACATTTACCTAATGATATACTACAACTAGAAGATAATTACACACAAATTTGGATAGCTAAATTCTAGATAATTTTTTTAATATTTTTATTTTGCTTACATCTAAAGGATGAAATCAGAATGCAATATTTACCTTCTTTTATGAACCTTAGTACGAAAATGTTCTTTTAAAGCATGGCTGTCAATAAAGTATCTTCTAAAAATAAAAAAAAATAAAGTTTTATTTCTAACGAAACAAAATACACATTTATTATAACTATATTAATAGGCTATTTTTATATATATATATCAAATATATATCCCATAATTACAAAACTATTCTTTTGAAAATTGGTTGACATGTACAAGGATAAAGTCAAGGGCAATGCAATGCCTAGTTTGTACAATTCTGTGCTGCTTTTTGAAGTGAAAATAGGTCAATATGTACATGGATACCGAGTTTGTACAATTCCTTGACTTGTTATTCCAAAATTTGTCGCTACACAAAGTCAAAATAACAAGTCAAAGAATTGCACAATGTCAATATCCATATACCATCAAAAATTGCCAGGGGGACCCTTAAATATAGTACTTTTACCTTTCTTTTAAGTCTATTTTAAAAAATACAATTTAAAACATGAGCAAGTAATTGTGAAAAAAAAAAGGGGGGGGAATTTATGTGTGATATTAAATTTTATGGTTGAAATATTCGGTTGATCTTTACAATATGGTAACTGGTAGTTTGGCGACATTTTGGAGGCGATAAAAGTTACTACCTGGCACTTTGGTAATAATGTGAGCAGTACTCAGTTCCGATTATGCATTATTTTGTGTGAGGGAAATGAGAGATCATGGGATATGTCATGTGATATTATGGACGAATTACGGTTCTTTAATCGGAAAAGGGGGGAAATCGGGAAAAATCTGGAAATTTTGCATTTGGCTTTATTCTGTGTTGTGTGAAACAGTGTTCGTGAATTTTTGGATCCCATGGCCGTAACTAAAGTGAATTCGAAATGGGTTATTTATGTATGTATTAATTTAATGTATGTGCTCATTTATATTTTAAGTAGTGTTTTTGAATTTAATTATATTTTAATTAAATGATAGTTATTTTGTGAATTTTTATGTTTGTAGGAATTTGGTATACGTTTTAGTTGAAGTAAACGTGCATGAAATAATTTTAAATATCTGACACTAAGTATTTGTAATGGTTGCGGTATGAATTCGTTCGTGACGTGTATAAATGTAATAGATGATTTAGAGGTAAAAGTTTTTGGATATTTTATTTATTTTATATGTGGAAATGTTCATTAACTTTTTTCGCGATCAGGTAATTTCATATATGTTCTTTTTACCGGGTTGAAAGATTGAGAAAATTGTCATGTATTTCGTGAAATTTTTCTAATTTATGAGAAAAAAGCAGTGTCCATGGATATAGTGAAGAGTGTGCGCAATGCCATTTTTGTGCAATTCTGGGATGTTTTTTTAAGTAAAAAATAAGTCGGCGTGTTACATGGTTTATGTGTGTGTTATTTTGAAAAACGCGTAAGGAGTATGTTTGTGCACTTTTTTCCCAATTTTGCAGTGATATTTTGTCATGATTAAGCAGTTTTTGTTAGATAAAATTTCTAGCATAAGTGTAATTCGGCTAGTAGATTGTTGGAAGAAGTATTCAGTAGATAAAAAGAAAAGAAACATGTCTTGGCGGCGGGGAAAAAAAATAGAGGGTTGCTTTAGGAGAGTTGGTCGCCAAATTTTTGCCAAAAAAACGCCAAGTTACCATAATGTGAAGATCAACCAAATATTCATACAAGAACAACTGCTTTTCCGAAGTGCAGAACCCCCTACTGCTTGGCCCGTTTAAGAATTGCACATACTCGGTAGCCATGTACACATCGACCTATTTTCACTTAAAAAAACATCTTAGAATTGCACAAAAATGGCATGGCGCACTCCCTTGTTTTTATCCACTTCAAAGAAAACTGACAAAAATCTAATTCTTCTTAATCTTGTAAAAAGCGCCAAACAAAAATAAGTGGGCGATTCTGCACTTTACCCCCTGCCCCATTGTATTATTTTGTTAATTATTATTCCAACAAATCAATGATGACCCCCATATTACTTATATAGTTCAATAAACAAACGATGTAAGTATTATTCATGAAGTTCAGCATTAAAAGTTAAACATTAATGTTATAGAATGTTCTTAGATATCCATTCTTTTGCTGTAGAAATAAGGAAATTACTTAAAAGGTAATGGACTATATGTTTATTTTAACGGTTTCTTAGAGCAATAAAATAATTTATCAGGTAATGAAGTTTTGTGAATAAATTGTGATGCCAGGTACGTTCATTTCATTACAGAATGTAATACTTACGCACAATGAAGGCAATAATATTGCCCACAACCAGGCAAATCGACATCAACTTCTTGATTTAATAGCTCTTCGGCCCGTTTTGGTTGCATATCATCATTGATTTCATCCAGATCTTTAGTCTTTCTTTTGATTTTAATCTGTTTTCGTTTAGCTGAATACCCATGATTACCTTTTTTACGCGAATAACGTGTCATATTCACACGTGCACAACACACATTGAAAACAAACTACACGGAAGACTTGTCTTGCACCTAGATTAAAAGTCTTTCTGTCAGTTGGGACAGAAAAAATGCATCAAGGATCAAGGAAACGGAGTGCGGTAGGCTAGGCCTTTAACTCCAAATCATCAGAGATAAAAAAAAAAAAAAAAAAAAAAAAAACCCGCATCATCCGAGGGGTTATCTAGGGACCCTTGAGGCTAATTTTATCTAACGCTTTCAGAGAAGGCCTCCGCAGAGATACCCGGTAAACTCATCGAAGTCTTTTTAATTAAATTTCGTGTCTAAAAAGGGCCAGAATTCAATTTTGATAGGACAGTCATCATTCATGAAAATTTGAAACGAATAAAAAAGGTGCACTACATTTCCTTGATTCTTGATATCAACAATAAAATAAAAATCTCTAGAACAAGCAGTCCGGATGAAAAGAGCTAGCGCGAGTTCAGTGAACTTGCACTCACTCGGGGTAGCTGGGCGAAATAGGCGGCGGGACTCGTTAGCCGGGTTCTAGAAGCAAGTCAGAGTAACAGCTGATGAAAGAGAAGTTGTTTTGGTCGCTATTCAACGCGACGTTTAAAAGTCAGATAAGAGCAGCCCCTTAGGGGGGTGGAAAGTAACTCGTTTAGCGAGTAGAAAGACACACACACACAGAGATCGTATTTTAAGAAGCGATTAAGAATAAAGTGTAGTCGCGTGTGGCTGCCGAGAAAAGATGTCCCTTGTTAAAGAGACGTTAAAAGACTTCTTAAAGAGTTGAAGAACAGGGTTCCTCCGGTCAATGCCCTTACGCATTGTTAACCCTTTAACTGCTTAAGACGTGTTTAAATGTTTTCGGATTTTCCTTTAAAAATGCTTAACACGTGTTTACACGAATTTCAAATCGCACGAAAAATGTTTAAGACGTGTATACACGAAGCCCGAATTTCGCGAAAATCGTTAGCGTGTTTAAGATGCGACGGTCTTCTTCCCCTACCTTTCTCAGGCGCTGTCAGTTGACACCAAAGGTTTAATAGGGTGCCAGCTGTGAAAGTCCTGATGAAGGGTCTGAGAGTGAAGACTCCCTGTCATACGAGGTGGCATATTTCGCGACTGCAAGCTTGTGAATCTTTTTACAACAGTTTGCCATTGGTTATTATACAATGAAGTCAAACGATGCTCATTTTATAGTCATTCCGCTTAGAAGAAACAGAAAAAGTAAAAATTGTAAGTAGGTACTTTTATAATCATTATTATACAATGTAACGGACTACAATTTGATTTGTCAAGAAACGGATAAATTAAAAAGTTGCAAACCCCTTGTTTGTTCTCTATTTCAAGTGCGGGTGTTTAATGTAATTTCCTTTGCATTTGAATGTTAAATGGCTTTCGGTATGCCTGATTTTGTGTTCGATATGCTTGTGGTTCTTATAAACGCGAACGACATATAAAAATGTCTGGAGTCGAAAGGAAGATATTCTCTCGAAAGTTCACTAAATCGATAAATCATCGTGAAAGAATTCTAAAATATTTAAAAAGTCTATTAGATTGGAATACAAATAGTTTAAATCTAGGGAAATACGCGTTTTTGAAAGAAATCTCGTGTAAAAATCGCATAAAATAACGGGTGTAAGTTAGTAAACAGTAGTGTATGAAAGGGACTATACTGCACAAAAAGTAGTCTAGGAACAATAGCAACGAATTATAATACATTAAAACCATTCCAAATGTCATGCTGATAGCAGCCTACAATAAAGTTATTAAATTCTAACTTAAGAATCGTTGTATTCTATTGGCCCACCCGCGGCCGAGCGGTAAGTCGTGTAGTCGGTGAGGTTCGACCTGTAACGGTGGTGTGGGGTAAGGTTTACGCCAAGTGTAACGGTATAAGCAGGGCCATTGAAAGTCCTCACGAGGCCTCCCTCTAGGCAGATAGCCCTCGGGCGTTGCTTAGTCCTAAAACCAAATCAAATAAAGACCAATAACTGTGTGTTCGCGCTACTTTGCAAAACTTTGATAAAGATTAACAAAGCCGCGCGACCTGTAGACTGATTGAGCGGTTTAGACCGCCGAATGGCTTCTCCTGGCAGTTCGAGGATTTTTGCTGCATAATAGCCATCTCATTTAAAAAGTCTTTCACGAATCTCCTTGGTACTAGTGCTCGCTGGATTAGTTATTGGTTGCTAGATTATGATAAAACACGCAAAGGGCGATCGTTAAAGAAAGTTGTTGTGAGACTTTCGAAGGAAACTTTTGTATTGGTAGTAAGGTAAATTCCGAAACCCCCACGTGTGAGCCAGTCAAGGGTTTCAATCGGGTCAACTACAATTATATTAATAGTCTTGTGTTAAGTATATAGTAAATAAAATAAAATACATCTCGCGAAATCATTTATATTGAACGGCAAATTTGTATCTACAGGCATCATTGCGTTCATTATGAGATTGCTCTTTCCGTACCAAGCTAGACCAAACGGAACACTGCTAGTTCTAACGGGGTCGAACACGGCGAAAGGGCAGGTGCATGATGCTCCGTGTTTTCATTGTCGTGACAAGCGGTGCCTTAGAAGTATATACGAAAGCACTTCCCTATGTAAAATAACCCTCGATGCTTGCCCAATCAAATAAACAAAAGATACTATATAATGCTTAAAATATTTTGTCTTTAAACTTTTGCGCCAAAGTTGGTTCGTAAATGAAATGCTGTTCCTTTTTTTTTTCTTTGCTTTCGCGAATGTTCTTGTTTTCAGAATGGAATAAAACATTTTTAATAGGTCATTCTATTGGTTTTTGTTAGAAAAAAGAATAAGAAAAATTCTATGTTTAGAAAAATTGTAACCTCATAGACATGAGTGCTGCGAAAGTGCTTTTCTACTGCGCATATATTTGTATAGAGAAAATGTTTGCCGTGTATCCTAACTGAAACGATCTGAGAATTCTAAGAAAATAAAGTTATTAAATTTAAATAAAAAAGTATAAGTATTTGTGGTTATATGTGTTAGAGAAGAGTCGAAACACGAGGTATGCGATGAATTAAATAGGATGTATATAAAGGATTTTGCCGCAGACTTTCCAGCGCAATTTGTAAGTTTTTTATAAGAATTAATGTAATGCGGTTGTATATAATTCAGTGTATAACCTCCTGATCAGTGTTTCGTGTATATCGAGATTAGTACGTCGATATAAGCTTTATTTTGTTTTATAAGCTGTCGTTTTCGTATTGCCATTAAATACGATTATAGGTTTTCAAATATCAGATCCTACCAGGGCCTCCGGCGAAGCGCGATCCGCGCTGACCCAACGACAAATATCTGATGGTGGGTTCATAGTTTTCCCATAGTGACTGGATATGAGTGGGTTTCTTAGAAAGAGACAGGGATAGTCTATCCTGAGACAGTGATTCCCCGGTCGGTCGCAGTGTTGCAGAGGGGTTCGCGAAAATAATATTGTAATGGCGGATTTTTAAAAACGCCTTAAAACAAAAGAAAAATAAAGAACACCACACCCTGTAAAATAATGTTCGCTGCCGGTTTTAAAGAAATCTATAATAATTTCAATTTTCATTTTTTTCCTTATTTGTTTTCAAAATTACTTCATCAATATCAATTATTCACAATTTATACATATAATTTATTCCTCTTATTCAAGTAATCAAATACTTTTCTCTTTTTATTACAAACATTTATTTATGTTTAAACATTTTATCAATGTGATTAGTATACGTTATGCTTTTATTTAAAATCATTGCAGCCAGTTCCCTTCTATGTAATATTTTTTTTTACAATACAATTGGAAATAAATATCAAATAAGGCAGTTTACTACAGATTTTAGATTAGATACTTGTTCCAACGGGAACGGGAGAATAGTGTTGTATTAATGTCTATTTGTCTGTCGAAGTTCATACATAGGCTTAGCAATTGTAAGCTTGAGTGATAGTGATACTGTGACTGTCAAGTTCTCGTGTAAATGATTTAATCATTATTAATTTAATTATTATTATAGCTTATTTTTATTATGGATCGATGGTTAAAAACGGGTCGTTTAGAAACGAGACTTGATAATCGAGATGATAGTACTGAAAGCTGTGGTGAGGTACCGTTCCACCAGACGAAAAACATAGGAAATGATGATAGAAAAGGGTTATCTACAATTGGGTTTTCATTTTACTGGGGATGAGCCGGAACCTAAACCGCTTTTTGTTATATGTAACGAAGTTCTTGCCAACAGCAGTTTAAAACCAACACTTCTTCGTAGACATATTGAAACAAAACATCCGACACACAAAGATAAATCTCTTGAATATTTCATCCGACACACAAAGATAAACCTCTTAAATATTTCAAAAGAAAATTATCAGATATTAAAAAGTGTAGCCTTTTTTCTTTCTTGACTTCAAACGAAGATAGTAAAATGGCCCTTGAAGCATCATTTCGAATAAGTTATAGAATTGCAAGATCTGGACAAGCGCATATAAAAGCAGAAAATTTATTTGGCCATATGCGAAAGATATCGCCAAATGTATGCTTGGGGGAAAAAGCAGCAAAGAAAATTGAGCTAGTTCCCTTATCAAACAACATGGTGTCGCCTAGAATTAATGACTTGGCTAATTATGTGGAAACAAACTTCTAAAAAGAATAAAATTGAATTATTTTGCAATTTAACTTGATGAATCGATAGGATGTAACAAATGCCGCAGTCTTGCTTTTCTACAGTAGCTATCTTTTTACGAATAGTGTTCAAGAAGATGCGCTATTTGCAAAACCTTTGAAAACCTACACAACTGGAGAAGCGATTTTTGATATGATTAGTGGGTATTTTGAAAAGAATTTAATAAGCTGGTCTTATTGTGTGGGTGTGTGTACAGATGGTGCAAAATCAATGACAGGAAAATTTTCTGGTTTTGTGGCACGGGTAAAGAAGATCAACGAGAAAATTCAATGGACTCATTGTTGTATTCATAGATAAGCTTTAAGTATGTAAGCGTATTCCTACAGAGTTATCTACTACTTTAAATGATGCTGTGAAATTGTGAACTTTATAAATCGCGTG